TCTGCACTGTAAAATGCACACAACTTGAAATCTCCAGGAATAGATAAAATGCCTAACTATTAGCTTTATTATTTAAATACAGCACACAAAAACTAGCCAAAGAACTTCAAGAGATGCTCAATGATCCTATTAAAATCCCGGCATGAGCAACCAGAGGAATTACCTTCGTTTTACCCAAGAATGGTGATACAAATGTCCCAAAAAACTAGGGACAAATTACATGTCTTCCCACTATTTACAAACTGTTGGCATCTATTTTGACAAAACAGACATATCCCTTCTTTAAAAAAAATTACATACTATGTCTTTAACAAAAAGGTTGCAATCATGCCTCTTACAGAAATAGAAGACATCATAATTCTATGGGATTATACCATCTTTACAGACAGGAAGATTGAAACAAATATATCGAACATAATACTCAAAAATCGAAAAGAAAAAAACTTGCCTACTAATTGATATAACTTTCCCAACGGACTGTAACATAGCAACCAAGGAATGTGAAAAAATAATCGAAGTATAAAAACTTGGAAACAAAAAATATGGAAATAGAAAACAAGTATAGTACCAGTCATTGTAGGTGAGGTAGGAAACTTCAGCTGCCTCTTCCTGATGTTGTGTATAAGCCTACTCCTTGTTTGCATCCTCTCTCTCATCGTTGCTCACAAATTCGGTCCATTATATCCTTCTGTAGAATCACATCTTCGTCGCCTCGAGTCTCTTTTTTCATCTTTGATGAAATCGTCCAACATTCGCTGCCGTAAAGAAGGACTGATGTCACGTAACATCTCAGTATTCTTTACCAAAGAAATCCTCCTGTCTCGCAATACTCTGCCCAGCTTTTGGAATGCGTCCTTAGCCATCCCAATACGTCTACGAATCTCAGTGTCGCATTTACCGTCGTCCGTCAGAACGCTTCCCGGATATCTAAACTTCCACTTTTGCTTGATTCTAGCGTTCCCCACCTGCAAATAGTATTTTAGGCTAATCCTTTTACTGATGACAATCATTGTTTTCTTGTAGTTTATGCTTAGTCCCTTCTTCACACTCTCCGTCGCTACCTTCTCTAGATGTTTCAGTTTGATGAAATCAGTGTATCCCTTAATGGCAGGATATAAAGCGTTGGTCCCGAAAGAATACAAAATCAGTCATGATAGAATATGCCCGTATTTACTTAGGTAATCATCAGGTAATAAAAAATTAAAACTGACGATAAGTGGTATAAACATCGTCCTAAAGGTGTAACTGAGAATAAACAAGTAACAATTTTATTTGACTTTCCCGTAAACATAGATCGAATAATCAAAGAAAGCAGGCCAGATATAAATGTTAATGATCACCAAAATAGAGTCTGTCTGCTGATCGTTTTGAGTGTACCATGTCATCGCGATAATTCTTTCAAAAAATTCAGGATGTTGAGTCAATACAAAGACCTGAAACATTTGAGAGCAACTACGATACTTGTAATAGCAGAAGCATTTTGAATGGTTAAGAAAGGAACTGGGAAATTTCTGAACGTAACAGCTGGAAAACTTTCTTTGTAAGTAGCCCACAAAATAATATTAACGGGCACTTTAACGGTGTCGACATTTCTGCTGAATGTTTAACAAACTAAAGAAACGCTTATTCATTTCTTGTCCTGGGGGTCTGGTTGTCAATTGGCATGGAATGTGACAGAAATGTTTAAGGAACTTTTTTCAATAGATTATATGATCTCATAAAATACTCAAATATAAATAAATATCTACGTTAAATATATGTGTGTGTGCACGCGCACGTGCGTGTGCTTGGATATGAATTTTCTAATATTTGTCAGCGAAAATTATTGGAAAAAATTAAAGATATATATATATATATATATATATATATATATATATATATATATATACATACACTCCTGATCAAAAGTTAACACCACTTGAAAATTCTTTTAAGAAGTCTGTATTTCATGGAAAAAGTTTTAAACATTTCATATTTAAGGTTACTAATTTTATAATCTAAAAGGTTATGCAGACAAAAAGTTATAATCCGAACATTTTATTGAGAAATTGACATTTTTATAAAATGAGGCGTTTTACACTTGATCAAAATTATAAAACCAGAGACAAAATTCTACGAAATTGTACGAAAAGTGTACGAAAACATTCAACAACCAAATTTCATAATGAGTTCTAACTCCACTGGTTTTGATGACATCAAAACTTCTTTGGGGCATGCTAGAAATTAGTGTTTCCATTAAGCTGCGAGGAATAATGCTCCTCACATACTTCATTTTTTATTGAATATTGTTTGCTATTTCGCTAAACATCTCTTGCCATCCATCCCCAAACATTTTCAATCGGGTTCAAGTCCGGTGAGCATGCAGGATGTCTCAAGAGATGGACCCCATTTTCTTGTAGAAAGGTCAAGGTCCGGCATGCATTGTGGATTGCAGCATTATCCTGTTGGAATATCCATCCATCCCCACACAGACGATAGCCCTCCGTCACCAACGATGCTTTTTGTAGCATGCTAATATAACTAGACGCTGTCTGACGACCCTGCACCACCTGGAGCTCTATCGTCCCTCTGTAAGAAAAGGCACCCCATACCATTAGGGACCCTCCACCACTATGACGTGTGGAGAAAATTTCAGGAGGTATGTTTTTGTTATGCCAATATCGTTGGAAGCCATTAGGACCATCTAGATTGAATTTTTTCTCAACATAAAACAGGGCTTTCTTCCACTTTTCAATGTCCCATGTTTGATATTCACGACCAAACCTTAAACAGTTCACTTTGTGACGTGGAAGCAGCCGAGGAATTTGTTTGCGCTTTTTATTTACCATGCCTTTTTGTCGTAAATGTCGTCGGATGGTTACTGGACTGCAATCAGCATCTGTGGCTGCCTTCATTTTAATAGAAGAAAGTCAACTGGCTTTCACAACAACCTGTATCAAGGCAAATGTAGGCTTTATTTTGTTGCACGTGTTTATATACAATAGCAGGGATATCATTGGTTTATCAAGGCTTTTAAATTTGAGAACGTTCATGAATATTGATCAGGTGGCTAAGTATCACATTCAATTTCATCTTGGAATTTTTATCCGAAATTACCTGTAATTGAGTAAAAAATAACAACTATGCTTGAAGATGGTGAATGTTTTCATCGAAAGTACTTGCGAACAACATGAACCGAACATCTAATCCATTGTACAATTAATTAAAACAAGGATCGTATCCCTCAGCGTGTGATCAGTAATTTAATGCCTTCCCTAATCTGTTAGCGAAACGAATTCGCCATTAATTTATTCTTTGAATGACTATTTTACAATATTAATTAAGTTGCAATATTTATTAATTTATATATATATATATATATATATATATATATATATATATATATATATATATATATATATATATATAATTTATCATCCGTGTCAGTGTATGCGTGCCTATCCATTATGCGAACGCAAAAATAAAATACGTACACAAACACGCATGATATACAGACACATACATACATATTTATGTATCTCTATATATACGTATGTGCTTCTATGAGTGTATGTATAACAAAACATTAATTAAAATATTGGTGGATAAATATTTTTTAATTATATTTCCGCAGAATAGATACTTAGACACAAAACAATATATATTACGCAATATGTATGCACTCAAACTCACCTATATATACACACACACATATATACATATATATATATATATATATATATATATATATATATATATATATATACATATATCCACAGTCATTGTTCCTCGATTATGCTGTCATATATATGTTTCTAAGTGCCTGTAATTAATATCAATTGTTAATTAATATGTAATATAGGTTATGTATATATATATAATGTTTATTAAATAATTTATTTAATGTGTAATTCCTGTGTAATGTCCACACTCGCACATATACATACACATTTATGTAGAACTACGTAACTGTTAACTGTTTGCCGTAGTCTCTGAATATGGAATCCAGTGAAGTCCGTAATGTGTTCAATATCAGAGGTTGGCAGTGAAGATTCGGAGAAAGTAGCAGCTGTTAAGTAATTCTTTACGTCTTCGATATCAGAGGTTGGCAGTGAAGATATTTTGGGAGAAAAAACAAAATGGCTGCCTTCATACACGTCGGATTGAATATTTTGATCTTTCTGATTGGTTAACCCTTCTCTTGGCGGACTATAAAATGCGTCAGCTCATTTTGGCTAGCTCACTAGTACTAAAAGATACCTACAAATTCCAACAGTAACAGCTACCATGGACAATATCTTATCCAACGTTAATCTAAAATTCAACAACAACACCTCTAAAGTAATAAAAGATATAATTAGCACCAAACGAGAGAACAACAACAGCAAGACAGAGGTAAAAAGATCCAAATAGATTTTTAAAAATGCTAAATAATGTATATCGGCGCAACATATAGAAATATAACGAATGACTATATTATCATCTCAGAGATATGCTGCATAACAACAATTTACATGCGTTGGTAGTTCATTGTAATATATCTGACCACAATTTCGACTTAATGAAAGCCAGTCTTATCAAGAGGAAAAAAAAGATTCGCTAAGAATAAAATGCAATGTGAGCCCGCTGATTTCACAATTCTCGACATCAAACCTAAGACCAGGACCTTACATAATATCACCGATCATTGCGAAAAGAGCTAATAGAGAAAAAATCTACTTGGACTTGGCTGATATAAAATCTATCAGACACTTCTTTTCATTTTATATGCCCTATCCTTTCAGGACGTAGGTGATCATAGCTCTCCACTTCGCCCTATCCCTTGTAGCTTTCAATAAGTTTCTCGCCCCTTCCGGCCCCCCATCAGACCACGTTCTGTCATCCACTCGTTTAAGCCCGCCAGGCATGCCATGCATTGCTTTCCCTTGTCTCTTTTTCCCTACATTCGACCTGTGAGTATCAGATTCTCCGAGCCCTCTTTTCTCATTATGCGTACCAGAAATTTCATCTGCCTCTTCCTTATGTTAAGTATAAGCGTCTTCTTTGTTTGCATCCTCTCTCTCTCTCTCTCTCTCTCTCTCTCTATCTATCTATCTCTCTCTCTCATCGTTTCTCACACGCTCGCTCCATGATATCCTTTACATCCTTCTATAGAACATCTCCGCCGCTTCGTGTCTCTTCTTCATCTTTGAGGAGACCGTCCAACATTCTCTGCCATATAAGAGGAAAGATGTCACGTAGCAGCTGAGTACTCTTTTATTTGTCACCAAAGAAACCCCCTGTCTCGCAATTACCCAACTTTTGAAATGCATCTTTGAAATGCATTGCCGTCCTCAAAGCACTTCCCAGATATTTAAACTCCACAATTTTATTGTCCGTGCAAATCGCATTTCGGATCTCAGCGTCCATGCATTCTGTCTTCATTTAGTGTATGGTTAGTGTTATGGGGTCCACCTTTTCCGGATATAATGGACTCGTCCTGCTGCCATAAAATAGCAAAAGAATATGAGTCACTTCCCAGATATTTAAACCTCTTTTTAGAAATTCGCACTTGTAGGCTTATCCTTCGAGACTGTATATATCTATCTGTATTTGATGTTCCTCCAGCATTATCTTTTTGTATTTTGTCATTTTAATTTCTTAGTGTATGCGTTTGTCATTTATTGGATACCCTATTTTTTCACATGGGATCCACAACAGTTAGACCCTTCTTCTCGCTAGATTTTGTAGGTTTTGTAGTTTCTTTTCCGTGTCTGCTATCAGTACTTTGTCATCTGCGTATCCTATGTTAGTAAGATTGTGGCAGCCAATGCTGAATCCCGGTAAGATCTCAAATTCTCTCAGAATTGCCTCGCTGTGACAGCTTTAATATTAAAAAAATTCTGGTTTCTGACTGTCGTATCTAATAAAGAAATCCCAATCCATTTTAATTACACACAGTGTTATCTTTCATTCTGATCTGAAGAAGCCAATAATACCACGCATTAATAAAATCCATCATCATTTTTAAAAAATTCCACTTTTCCCCATTATCACCACTTTTGTTTCGGATACTATTATTTCGCTAGATCAATTACGACTGAATAGTAAATTCCTCCTCACTCGATGCCACATACTCTCGGCTTTGGGACACACCTAAGCTAAGCTTAGAAAATCTCCATAGAGTAGAGACTCAGTTAAAATCCTTGCAGCTTCGACCCTAATTTTTCTTTATTGAGATTTCTTGAAAGTAGAGTCCGATAGACATAATAATAAATACTAGTTATAAAAAAAGTAATGGTTGTTAAAGTTTCATCTAATAAAATAAAAAGAAAGAAAGAAGACAAATGTCACTATTGTATTGTTTGCTTGTTCGGAGTCCCTTCTCTAAATGTCAAATTGTTTCTCTGTACTCTAGTTCTGTTGTGTCCCAATTTAAACTCATGCGAAAGGAATTGAATTGCTTGTTCCAGAGACAACAATATTTTCAATGGTAAAAGAAACAAACAATTTTTTATAATGAAGGAACCATTAGAAAATTGACATTATTACTTTTTTTTAACTAGTGTTTATTATTATGTCTATAGGACTCGAGAAATCTCAGTAAAGAAAAATAAGGATCGATACTGCAGTAATCTTAACTGAGCCTCTCTTCTATGGAGATTTTGTAAGCGTAGCGTAGGTGTGTCACAAGGCCGAAAGTATGTGGCCTCGATTGAGGATCTGACTCACTATTCAGTCCTAATTGATCTAGCGAAACACAAGGTTTAATAAATAAAAATAGCGCGTCTATTTCAAATACGGAGTATCCATTATAATAACGTTTGAAATAATATATATTGTTAATTTTAACGCCTCCAAAGCGAAACTGCTCCCTTCTAATCGTCCTTTTTTGAGTTCCGTCATTATGACTGATGCTAACCGCCAGGCAACTCATTGCACTTTTTAGGGCTAATGTTTTCCGCTGACTTGAAGTAGAATGATTATATTGAATAAATTGCTAGGTCTGTTGGTAGGAAAGCTGGCGGTGTGTCGTGCTAGATAATTTTTCACGGCAGAATATATCTTACATAATTATAAATCAACCGTTATCCATCCTACATATTCTCCTCATCTCGATTTACTTTCTCCTCTTACGTTCATATATCAACCTTATTCAATATCTCTAACTTGAGTGGGTCTTAGGTTTTGTATAGAGTCAAACATTTAGTAAAATAAAATACAAAATTTTAGAATGTCATCTATCGTTAAAAACAAAAAAAAAAGATTTTTGGTTACGCTATTTGCAATTGTATGTCTGCCTCTTAAACTATCGTATTAGGTTTTTGTGACATCAAGTGTCACATTCAGAACATATTTGATGCAGTCAAAATGCATTTATGTAAGTCGGTATTATATTACATTTGATATTGCAAATGTCGCTATTTCCTTCTATTTAAATTTTCAAATGGTTCCTTCATTATAAAAAAAAATGTTTGTTTCTTTTACCATTGAAAATATTGTTGTCTCTGGAGCAAGCAATTCAACTCCTTTCGCATGAGTTTAAATTGGGACACAACAGAACTAGAGTACAGAGAAACAATTTGACATTTAGAGAAGAGACTCCGAACAAGCAAACAATACAATAGTGACATTTGTCTTCTTTCTTTCTTTTTATTTTATTAGATGTAACTTTAACAACCATTACTTTCTTTTAACTAGTATTTATTTTCTTTCTTTTTTAGTCGATTTTTAACGCAACATTATTTAGGTCGACAATCTACAACCGTGACTAGAGAGTGTATGACCGGAAATAAGGTTATAAGAATCGAACTAAAATACCTTTTGCCTCCTGATAAGAAGTCCGGCAAGCGTCCAGCTGCTTTAACTCAAGGTACTAAAATTGGACTGTTTTCTTCTTCTTCGCCTGTGAAGATCCTCTGTGGTTCATAGGCCGGCCCTAGACTCACTTCTTTAATCATTTCACCCCAAGCAAGACAATAAAACCACTAAGACGCAAGGGCTTACTCTGGGTGTAAAAGAATATAAGAAAAATAAAAACAAATTAAGGAGAGAAAACAATACAAGAACAAGAATTAAGAACTCAAAAACAAAAACAAAAAGTTGTTGTATTCATCATTTTCTAAGACAAAATTGTTATGTTCAAGAGCCTGATGATGACATTTTGTTAATGTCGAAAGTACTCGGAATAAAATGAAGATTCATCAACATGGTAATTTTTTTTCTTTCTTTAATGAGACTAAGAAACTTGTCCATAATTAAGAGAGGATCCTATTAAAATAAGTAAATATAATTTGACTAAATTACTTCATCAGACATGACATAATATATATATATATATATATATATAGATAGATAGATAGATAGATAGATAGATAGATAGATAGATAGATAGATTCTTTTATCATTCTCCCTCTCTTCCACCTTATTCCTCTCAAGCTCGCTTTCTCTCTCTCTCTCCCTCCCTCCCCTTTCTCTCTCTCCCTCTCTCTCTCTTCGATCGTTTTTTCTTTCTCCGGTTAACTCCTCCTTTTTCGTCTCTCTCTCTCTCTCTTTCACTTCTCTCTCTTTCTCTCTCTCTTCTTTTTTCCTTTCGCTTTCTTTCTTTCTTCTTAAAAATGTCTCACCTTTGGCTTGTTTGCACTTTCTCAGGTTAACTCCTCCTGGTTTTCTCTTTTCGCACACTCTCTCTCTTTTCCTCTTTCACTCCTTCTCGCTCTCTCTTTCACCCAAAAATTTTGTTCTGTTTCTTCAGTAATGCTATATATATATATATATATATATATATATATATATATATATATATGTATATATATATATATGTGTGTGTGTTGTTGTTTTCTATCTTATTTTCTTCTTTCTCGCACTCTCACTTTCCCTTTCTTTCTCTCTAGCTTCTTTTCGCTCTCTCCCTAATTCTCTCTCTCTCTCTCTCTCTCTCCCTGCACTCGTTTGCACTTTCTCAGGTTAACAGTTTCTGTGTTTCTCTCTTTTCTTTCTTTTTTTTCCCTTTCATTCATCCCAAATGCTTCTCGCTTCAAAAATGTCATATGATGCCCAGCGGAACTGACACGAATCCGATTGGTAAATATAAAGTTTTTCTCATGTTGTTCAACTTCCTGTTCCTATGTGGACGGCTTTCTGGGTATACTTCCGTTTGTGTAATTGCCATGTTATAAGTATAAGAAAAATAATCGGGAGCGGGAACAGATTTTTTTTTTTTTTTTTTTTGCCAACGCTCTGACTATCCACCACCTTGGCACGCAACATGGAGCAGAATTGATCTTCACAGCATTGAATTACACATTAAATAAATCGTTATATTTATCTATGCACGCACGCGCACACACATACACTATATATATATATATATATATATATATATATATATATATATATATATGGGAGGCAGACGGATGTTTTGACACAGCTGAAAGAGTATATATATATATATATATATATATATATATATATATATATATATATATATATATAATATATATTATTGTGAAAATATACATACATATGAAAAAATATATCTAAAAATTCCCATACATGTATATTTTCAGAAAAAATTTTTCAAAAGGAGGATCCAATATATATGTGTGTGATTAAATAAAACGGACAAAGAACATCTTTTCAATTATATATATATGAAATTATATCTCTCTCTCTCTATATATATATATATAATTTATATATTTAATTATATATTTAAATTTGCGATTTTATATATATACAATTTTTTTCGCTAGTTTATATATGTATATATGCACTCATAGATATATATGTTGATATAAATGTGATATTCAATATCCATACATACATGCATATATATATATATATATATATATATATATATATATATATAAGCAATGTGGACATATGTATGGACACTGAATGGTGGTAGCGTATTTCCCGATTGAATGCAAATTTCTACTGTGTTTACATATGCCCTGTCTCTGATACTGACCACTTTTGCTCCAACAATTATGGCTTACGGTAAAAGCTATATTTTATCATTCAAATATATATATATATATATATATATATATATATATATATATATATATAATCATTTCACCCAGAAAGTCAATAAAGACACTAAATCGCAAGGGTTTACTGAATGTTGAGGAATACGAGAAAATACTATTAAGGAGACCATACAGGAAAGTTCATTAGAACAATTACCATGAATGTATTTATAGAAAGGTCTCAGGAAAGCAACATTTCTGGAAAGTGATTGAAGCCGAGTTACCAATAACTGCAGATTCTTCTTTGCATTTTATCAAGAATCTTTAAATATATAACAGGGACTCTAGACCAGATGTGGCAGAATATCAAAGAATGGACGAATTTAGACTTCTACGTCTTCAAGATATGTTCTGGGGATGTTAATTGTCTACTACGACTTCATGAACCATTTTTCCCAGTAGCAGACCTAGCAGTTGATTCAATATAATCTCTCTTTTTTAACCCTAAAAGGCGCAATGGGTCACTCTCGTAGAAGTTAGCATCTGTCATGACAGAAAAGCGTTTCTCAGATGATTGATAGAGAGCAGTTTCTTTTTAGAGGCGTTAAAATAAACAAGCTATTCTTTGCCTCCCACCTACCAAGTTAACAGCAGATTGTAGGTCATTTTTGTGATCAGACTTACTATTAAGACAGTAGTAATTTGTTGTATCATCAGATACCGTGTTGAGAACAGATGCCATCATGAAGGTTATTGATGAAAATTAGAAACAATGTAAGGATACCGAGTGCTGATGGCTTAGTGGTAGAAACTCCGACTGACACCAAATCGGTCGGGTTTCGAACCTGGCTTGAGGCTTTCATATATCTAGTCGCTCTGAGATGTGATACAGCTAAATAGTACTGTCTGCGAATGACACACACACAAAAAAAAATATTTCGGTTGAGCTCTCTGGGGGAGGAAGTATGTGTTTTTAAACAGTGACTATTACGACTAATATAGCAAGACTCTTCGGTAAACTGTGTCTTTATCTAAAAATAAATAGGCTTAAATTCACCTAACCCTAACCCTCACCCTCCCTGCCAACGTCTTAGCGGTAGAATCTCTTCAGCCGGGTTTCGATCCTAGCTAAAGCCAAACGGACGTCTAGCCACACTGATGAGCTGTGATACAGCGAAACAATCTGTCTGTGGATGACAATATATATATATTATATATGAAGGAAAGATGTATGACAAAGTGGAAAAAAGTTTTCATGGCAACTGTTCAAAGAAAGAAATAGCAGCCTACTACGGGAAAAAAACCTGCCTCATCAGACATGTATTGAAAGATACATGATCACCTAAGTATGTATCACTCATGACACATAACTGAAGTCCAAGGATAGAGCTATGGGAGACACCTGCATTAATCTAGGGGAGTAATTTCAAATAGTTATTTTAAGGCTCAACTTTCCCATACATATGCAAACACTACGACGAAATATGTGTAAACCGAAATATGTTTTTTTTTTTTTTAATTATGCTATTTATTGAGAGTTGATGTTTTTGATTCCGGGAGACTAGAGAGCTTCTCCAAATCGATCAAGTTAGAATTTTGTTTGAATTTTGAATTTTGAATTGTATAACAAAATTGCACCCTGAAGATGACAATATGAAATTGTCGAAAGTACTTGAGACGTGTCTTCCTTCTAACAACAATTCGGATATAAGGATCTTATTATTCAAGGAATTGATAGTAAGTTAATGTCTCATTAAGTTCTGTTAGCGAATAGTGATATAAAATATAAGCTGCACACACTAATATATATATATATATATATATATATATATATATATATATATATATATATATATATATATATATATATATATATATATATATATATATATATATAGTATAGTTTTAAGGTGTGCTATATTTATGGGATAAAGTGCTCAATATCGGAGATAGAGCGTGTGTAATATAAATATATAAAGTGAACATTGAAGCAAATACTCAGGCGGCCTGACGATTGCGTCCAGCATGAAAAAAGCCTGTCCCATCCGAGTGTTGACTTCAATATTCACTTTTATATATATATATATATATATATATATATATATATATATATAGTAGTGTGGATAGTGGATGAGTTTGAATTCAAGACGAATCCATTGCATTCACATATGTGCTAATACCCTTGAGAAATATATGAACCCTCTTCTTCTCCCTCCAGTTATGGGTAAATAGCAGGACAGACCGGATTCTATAGTCTTGGATGGCAACTGGTCTAGGAAAAGGAGAATTCTGAATTCAAAACCTGTGGAGGGCCGTTTGGGGAGCCAGTGGCACGTAGTGCACCAGGTCTCCATCCGGCCCTTCCAAAAGTGTGGCTGGTTCTGCACAAAGCTTTCACCACTATAATCAAATCATGTGTTTGTGTCTGAGCTGTCGGTTCCTCGGAACTGATCTGCTCGACTCTCATACATCGAATACGATGGGATAGTTCACTCTTTCTCTCTCTCTCTCTCTCTCTATATATATATATATATATATATATATATATATATATATATATATATAGATAGATAGATAGATAGATAGATAGATAACTATACTCGTTTCGAAAAACCCTCGAATTTTTGATTTGCCAATAATCAAATCCATCTCGAGGGAAAAAAAGGTTTTAAGAAAAGAAAGAGCTACAAACATGAAAGTCTGTCGAAAAAAATCGCACAAATACAGGTTTGAAGCTCAACGAAAAAACCTCGATACGAGTAAACAACTAACAAAAGAGCTCAATACAACCGTAGAGCAGCCTTAGATAAACCTAGTGAACCAGACAAACCTACCCAGGTTTCACCTAAACGGATCGTCAGGGAAAGTCGATCGACTTTCCCTGACGATCCGTTTAGGTGAAACCTAGGTAGGTTTGTCTGGCTCACTAGGTTTATCTATATATATATATATATATAGATAGATAGATAGATAGATAGATAGATAGATAGATAGATAGGATATTTTTAGGCAGCAATAGTTATTTGAAAACATTATTTAATATTCTCAAGTTATTTTCTGTCTTTGGATTATTCGGAGATTTTGGGGTTTTTTTTTCTTATTTCTTATTTTCTCTTTTCACTTCTCCCGCCACCAATTCTGTTGTTTTTCTTTTTCACCCATTTTAACAGTTTTGTTTTTATTACCGCCATCTGCTTTTTAGCTAATTTTAAAAGTCATTGCTATCTTTATCTTTAATTTTCATTTCCAAAAACAAAAGTAAAAGAAAAATATGAACCTAATTATGAAGCTTAGGAAGCTTAGGAAAATCATCAATTTCAGCTTTTCTTTTGTACGTTTTTGGGTAATGATATTGTAAGCCAATGAACGCCAACTACTAATCACTTATAACCATGTTCGCATTCCAAAAGCTGTGCAGAGTATTGCGAGACAGGAGAAAAGACTACTGAATACAAAGAAAAGAGTACTGAGCTGTTACGTGACGTCTGTCTTCCTTTACGGCAGCGAATGAGGGAGCGACTCGAGGTGACGGAGATGTGGTTCTACAGAAGGATGCTGTGGATATCATGGACCGAGCGTGTCGTGTGAGCAACGATGAGCTTTTGGAAAGTATGCAAACAAGGAGGAGGCTTATGGTTAACATCAAGAAGAGGCAGCTGAAGCTTCTGGGCCGCATAATGAGGAAGGATGGCCTGGAGAATCTGATACTCACAAGTAGATTAGAGGGAAAGCAATGCATGACATAACTGGCGGGTTTAAACAAGTGGATGACAGAACGTGGTCTGGGGGAGGTCATAGAGGAACGAAACTTATTGTGAGCTACAAGGGATAGGGGGATGTGGGGAGCCATGATTGTCTACGTCCTGAAAGGACACTTATACATCAGGACGGTCGTCTTCGAGTATAGAATCCAGAGGTTACCAGTGAATATTTCGAAGACAGTAGGAAAGCGTTGTTCAGATTAGCAGTGGATATTTCGATAAAAGTAGCAGAGCATAGTTCGTCCTTCTGTTTCTCTTCGCCTGACAAGCTGGACTGGACATTCGGGTAGAGTGAACAAAAATGGCCGCCTTTATACACGACGGATACAATGTTCTGCGTCTTCTGATT